CAGACTGGAAGTGTCAGATGAGTAGTGGGAAGAGCACTGTTCCAAAATATAGAACATGAAGAAGTCAATACGTTTTTATCTAGAAAACTGCAGGAACTACAGAATATTCCTTTACTTTGAACAGAAGGATGTCAGCAGGTCTGCAGCCCATGAAGCATCTTAAGGACTGCATTGCATTTCCTATCTAGTCAGAAGGATTTCTGAGTGCAAATGAGTCTCAGAAGCATTTTTGGTTAATTTTGAGGATCAAAGTTGCATAAATATTTCAGTTATGCTTTAAAGAAATAATTTAATTCCCCCACTTTGTGTTCCACAGAAGGGAACAAGGTGATGGTTATTTACACCTAAGCACAGGAATCCTGTAGCTCTGTCCATTTCATTTATCAGGCCCACAAAGTAGAACGACCGATGATTTAATCTGAAGCATGCCAAATTGCAAACTGGCCTCTCATTTTTATTCCTTTAATGATGAACTAGCGAAAGAAAAGTTGAAGTGTGGACATATAATCTATAAAAAGATCTTGAATAAGACGCGGATCCAGAATGGGGTTAGAATTCTTCAAATGCTGATAATGAAGATAAGAAAAATGAAGTTTTTTCAGGACTTGTTCTAGATAGGCATGCAAGACGATGCATATTCATTCAGACAACAGGGCAACAGTATTTTTTTAAATTCAAGATTCACTTCATTTCTTTTAGTATGGTTCGGATGAAGTCAAATTTAATGAGAAAACAAGACAAAGCATCCTTCTGAGTAATAGGTCATTCATGAGGAAAGTAATACTTTGTGAATACATGCACAAGAACATATTCAATTTAATCTTTCTTTTCTTCTATACCACCACTTCTATGATTTTTTTCTCAACATGAAGTCCATTAGTTTATTCAGTGATACAAGTCAGCACGCAATTTACTTACAGGTTGTGTTAAAATTTTACAAACAATCAAGAACGCAGGCATTGTCATGACTAATGTGTTCTGCTGTTTAAAAACATCTCACTGGTTTTTGACCTGTGCTTTTTGGACACAAACAGCGGGCAGGTGGACAGGCCAGCTGGAAAGAAGGAAAAAATAACCCAGAAAAGTTGTAATTGCCCAAAGCAAGACACACATTTATTTAAAGATGAACCCCTACAAAGATTTTATATGTATCTTTGGAAATAAAAATATTCATTCTAATTTAGGTTGCCCTCTCAGTAAACTTTTTTTTTTTCCTTTTTTTTTCCTAGTAAACGTAGCCTATGTATCATATGTATCATATGTATATATATATATATATATATATAGTATATATATATATATGCACATATGTATCATCTAAGGTCCTTAGATAGGGAGTATACACATTTGATTTTCTTATCAAAATCTTTCTTAGCTATCAATCTTTTGCTTACAGGAGACAACAGAAAAATGATTAACCAAATAGTGGCATGAGTAATGGGCTACCAGTTTTTTCTGCTTATGGAATTAAGGGGGCACTGACTACTCAATTAGGTATTGCCTGGGTAATGAGCATATCATGGGGCATGTGCTTAACACCAAACTTAGTTTGCTGGTGACTGATTACTGCTGTTTGGTGAAAAACATGACACTTCACAATACTTCACTTGGTTACCTGCTAGTTATTTTCAAGAAGCATTTGTGACTTTGGTGGTAGTTTTCACTGAGAGATAAAATGGGGAAAAAAGTGTATTTTTTCCCTTTATCAGTGCATACCAACCCACTTCATGCCTATGGAATCAAAGAAAAGCACTGCAGCTCTGAAGAAGGCAGCCTCACAGTACAGAGCAAAATCAGCCTGGAACTTTCTTCCTAGCTCGCTAACGGACCTTTTTCCCTTATGCTAATACCTTCCAAGTGCCTAGAAAAAAAAAAACTGCCTACCTTTTATTTCAAAGTAGGCTTGAAAATAGAGTCTACTCAGTGTAGCTTTATCACTAGGGCAATGAAACCTTGCTCTGTTAGAAGACACACAAATCAAGGCAGTACAGATTATTAAAGTAAGTACAGGATGAAGACAGGACCAGGGCAGGAATTGTCATTTATTTACGATATATCTGATATACAGAGTTTAAGTACTTCGATTTTCCAAAAGATTAAGAAACAAACAAAACACCACATTTGTTTTAAAATGTTGCTCAACATAGCAAGCATTTTGTATGAGGTACTCTTCTACAGAAGAGTACAGAAGGTTACAGAAAACACAGTCATCTGTGCATAGAGTAAATAAACTTCTGTAAAGTATATGTAATATGAAAAAAACACATTGAAACTCTGGTGGTACAGTGGCTACCTGTGAGAGCACCTCTTTTCCTCCAAATAAGAGGAGTTTCAGTGGAATGCAGTGGAACTCTGAATATTTACCAACTCACAGGCATAGAGATACTTTGACATCTGGCAAATCTGTGCAGCTGTCTGGCTCTAGCAGATTTTAGATACAATACTCAGAGAAGCAGATCAGTCACTGGGGGTGTGAAGGGAGGTATGCCCCAGTTCTGGCCTATTTCAGTGCATAGTTAGTATTCTATTCAAGTCACTAACATCATGGTTTTGTAGTGTTTGCTTAATTGCTGGGTTTTTTTGTGTTGATTTTGTTTTTTATCCTTACATGCAATACTTTCTAGGAACTAAGCACACTAATCAAATTATTGAGGCATTTCAGTAAACTGGGACAAAGAGGTAAAACTAGTTGGTAAAATAAAGTCTTCTAAGAAAAAAATGATAAAGAAAAATCAGAAAAGAAAATAAAGAAATGAGCAATGATATCAGATAAGTATAAAGTATAGTGTCACTGAGGAATTAAGAAGTTAACCTGTCAGTATTATTTGATTCTGTGAAAGTATAGCGCTGTTCTACTTTGCATGAACAGGATCTGAAAGTTAAGAATTGCAACACAAGCAATTATTCATTACGTAATATGAAAAGTCAAGTCATTAAGAAGCAATTTTATGCACAGACAATATGTGATACAGATGCAAGTTGTCAGCAATGCAGGTCAATTTTCACCATGCAGAGGGAGAACACACACACACACTGCTTTCTGTGTGCCTAATGAGACCAGCCTGTTAGCCAAGGAATTTAATAACTCTTGTGCAACAAAGGTCTGAAGAAGTGAATCAAAAAGGACACTGATATTGACACAGGCCTGCACAACTGCAGCAGAACTCTACCCTTTTTTTTCAGTGGAGTAACACATTGTCCATTTCCACAAACTCCGTAAGACAAAATATAAGCTTTCTATTTCAGCAATGCAGAGCAGAGAGCTATGCCTGCATTCCTTAAAGAGTCTGTGGAGGCTCCTTCTTTGGAGATATACTGAAAACTCACCTGGATGCTTCCCTTTGTAACCTACTGTAGGGAACTTGCTGTAAGGGAGGGGAACTGGAATTGGAATAGGTGCTATCCAGAGATCCGTTCCAATCCCTGTGATTCTATGGTATCTGAACCATGCTCTAACACAGCTGGCTATTTATGCAGAACCACATTCTCGACACAGAACCATTAAATTGAATCATTACTGTTGAATCATCATTCTGAGACATTTAACAAAAAGATCAAACTACTTCATGGCCAAGACTCCAACATACGTTCCTCAGCCTTGGACTAGCATACAGGCTTCAAAACTTAGGTCAGATCACACACAGGCTCCCCAGTCAGACTTCTCCTACTCCATTTAATACAATACCTGTTCTGAACCAGGTTTGATGAAAAGAGTTTGATGAAAAGCAGTATTTCTGGTTTCAGTTTAAGAAGTGTCATAATGTCTTGCTGGTGACTAACTGCCCTTTTTTGTCTTGGTGCTGGAGGGATGATTTAGCTGCCACATGTGCCCTCATGCCAGAAAGCCTGCTGTGTCAGACATTTGTATTTATCCCACAAAAAAATTATAAAGCCACAGCAGGCAACAGATGTTAATTCTACTTTTAGACTTCAGGGAATAATTTATCAGCTCACATATTTTTATGTTTCTTTCTTTATTCATTCTTTGCAACACTTTTTTTAAACCTGACTTTTTGACAGAAGTTCAAATAACATTGGCAATTGACCCTTTTACCTGAAAAACAAATAAAGCACACCACAGTAACAGTAGCAGAAAGTTATCTCTCTCTATAAATAAATGATCTGTTATATATGCTGCAGAAATATATATTATGTCTTGATATCTCATGCTACATGAAGAACATGAAGTTCTGCTGCGATATTTTCTCATATTACCTGCCATGAATGTTGCTCATATTAAAAAGTACAATTATTTTTAGAATTTTTGACAACTGCCCTTACTACCAACTAAAGCATTTGTGAAGATCAAACCCTTCTTTATCCATTCAAGATGAAGAGATGGAAAAAAATCTGTTGAAGTTTATCTTCCCCACATATACTCATAAAACCAGCAACACACGTGAAAAACATCATGTGGTTGAATTAGTGGCCAAGGAAATCCAGATCATTGTAAGGAAAGTTAAGAATAGATAATACAGTATGTTTAACCAGTTTAACTACAGCTCATTAGCAAGCAATACAGTAGCAACTGCCATTTAATCATGGATTAAGAAATAAAATTGAAACTAGTGGGCTCAGAAAACATTGGGGTAACAGTAAGTTTGAAGGGTGTTGGAGTATATTTTTACATTATGCCAGAGTAATTCTAAATGCCAACTCAATAATTTTTCAATAAACTGACAAAAATCCATTGAAATTAACATAAGATGCAAAGTTCATAAAACTTACAGACAATAACAAACCTAGAAACAATATCTGGAATATTTGGAACTGGAATAAAGGTAACTATTTAGGAAAGAAAATTAAGGCAGAAACACAAAGAGTTTCTTCCAGCCCACATCAACAGAATGTATTTTTTGCACAATCTGTCTTTTGTCATTATTTCATAGATCTTAACTGCAAAGTGCCAGCTTGCAGAGTTTAATCTACATTTACAATGCCTACAATGTAATTTTCTTATTAAAATGCAATCCATCCTGGTAATGTCAGAATTTACTTACTGTGTCACTGGATCTTGAAATTAACTCCAGAGCAAAGTGATGGGCTTGAATTACGCGTAAAATCCTTGATAGCTGCAAAAGCAATAAACTATCAGTTAAATCGAGCCTTTTTCCTTTTCCATCCCCATTTTTCCCCCTTTAATTAGCCTTCTTTTCTTTGTGCATAGATCATCAATCATTTTAGGTAGTTTGCCTAAATACATTGGAGTATAAGTAATAATGCTAACTCCTAACAAAAAAACATGGTCAAGAATGGAAACTGCTATTTCCAGAAGTCAGAAGTACTTAAAAGAATGACACACTAACACAAACTTTCTAAAATACAAACAATGAATAGTCAGGTATGCAATTTCCACACAACGTAAATTTCAGCACATGATCTAAAGAGAAATTATAAATGTTACAGAGTTGTGAGCATTTGATTTCAGTACTACCATGGGTTTGACAGGTAACATCACATACTTCCTAAACTGTCTTTTTAAATGGAAAAAAAAAACCACTTGATCTGTAGTGTAGAGATGTCAGGAAGACTCCCTTCAAATACCTCTCCTAACTCAGCAATGGCATCATGACGTGTCAGAAGGCAAGGAGAAGTTATTCAAAGGATTTAACTAAAAGTCAAAAAAGGAACCTCTGATACTAGAAGCTACAACTGAGATGCTCATAACTGAGCTGAGAAAATGTTTTGCATGGCTCCTATCACTTACAGCCTTAAAGGAAGTCATCCCCAAAACCTATCTGTACATGTCACATTGAGAGCATAGAAAGCTTGAAATTAAAGCAGACTGGCACATCTTTCTTCTTAGTATTGTACAGTACTGGGCAAAATGCATGGAACTTTGCTCTAGGTTTATTCTTCCAGATTTCCAATATGAAGAAAAAAGCAAGACAAGTAATGGCAACACTTTCACAATGAATCTCTGTTAACTTGTATTTTCAGCTGTACCATATTTTGATTTTTTAGGTTGAAAACATCTTTTTCTACATTAACAATTTGCCAGCATCAGCAGAAGAAGTGAAAGACACAGAACACCAAACCAATTTGCTACTCAAATTTTCAAAAGCTGTAGAAGCCTAAATGTTATTCAGAGCAACGAGATGTAGACAGTGAAATATCACACAGTATAAAGACAGAAAATGCTAACAAGGACTGCCTTCTTGAAAAATGTTGACGTACTGGAAAAAAATCCTCCCTGGAGTTTTATTTCTTCTCCTCTGGTGGTTTTTTTTCCCTTCTTAATTTTTTTTTTTTTTTTTGAAATTATGATTATTATTTTAATTTTTTAAATGGATCATATCAACAGTGTGATAATCTCACATTTCCACTGCCATTACATTCACTAAAACATTGCCATTATTGATGAGGTCACTTAATTTGCTCTCCAGCAGATAATTTACACAAGTGGGTAATAATACTATATTGTCTGCCTTCACTATACTGGTATAACAAAATAATCAAAAGAGAGGTGATAAAACATTACAGAAGCATGGTGAAAATCCCTGTGGATGGGCAAGAAAGCGAGCAAATCTTAAGCCTGTAAATCATCAGGAGATGGCTTTATCTAGAGGAATCTGCCCAGTCTTCAATCTCATTGATTCCTGGGTGATAAAATTGAAAAATTGGCGTTGCACCATGAAAGCTAGTATAACTTTTCCCCACTTACATGGGAAAACAGACTGAGTTCTCAAATCCAATTGAAGTATAGCTTTCACAGATTACATTCCAGATCCACGCTTGAAGCTAAAAGTATCTACAATGCCCTCCCACTGTTAAAAGGCTTTATGAATTCTTCCGTTTTGTTTACTCAAAAAACCTGCCATATTTAAATTCTCAAGAGCATATTTCCTCTATGCTGCAATCAAACTATGCATTACAAATTTCATTTTCTCTTCAGTTCTCTAAGGAAAAATTCTGAAGGGTTGCTTCATTGACTAATAGATGTTAGCCAACAAATAAACCATTTTGATCATCTGATTGGACTCTAATCTTGAGTTACAGATCAAAAGAATGTACAACCTGCTCTCACCAATACATCTGGTGGTTGATTATCCTCAGCACACGGATCTTACTTCTAAAAAGAACATGCTATCCTTGCTTCCCAAAAAGGTAGCTGTGTAATTAATTCAGCTAAAATAAACTTCTTTCCAGCCTACTATAATTAACAAAATCCTCCACAACTCCACTGTCATTAGAATGAGATTCTTTTTGTGTCTCATCTTTTCTTGTCTACTCACTCCACAGCCAGTAACAGCTAGCAACACAAGCTCACAGGAGTACTGTGAGTGGAACTACTAGTACTGCCCAGAAATCTATCCATTTTTCCAGCTCTTCTAACAAAACTATGCTGAAGAAAGACACAAATACATTAAAAAAAAAAAAAAAAATATATATATATATATATACATACACATATCTAGGACTTCCTTCTGCATATTTATATGCATAATGAAGTAAAAAGCCCTCAGAAGTCAATTGCTCAAGAAGCAGTATGGCTTCAAATTCAATTCACTCTAGCCCTAAATTATATCCAATGAATGGTAGTTTAACAAGTTCTGTGACGAAGTGAATTTTCTCATTATTAATGGACAAGATGTAGCTGATAGGCCACACAATAAAAAAGACTATAATTTTTTGACATACATTTTATCTGGATTGTAGTAAAGTACTGAAGAGAAACTAAACAACTACCGAAAGTGAAAAGAAAAAAATATATTCATGTATTTCCAAGTTTTCAATTGGATGCAGATTCCATAGAAACACAAGAAAGACAGAATAAAACAACTAAAATGTCAGAGCAAGTATAGATTTCTCAGAATGCATCTTAAGTTATAAGACTGCTGTATTTGAAGATACCAACACTATTTCGTAAACATTCAGATTTCAAACACTACACTTTATCTCAATGCACATACAGTTAAACAGCTTAACACAAAAAGGAAATAAAGCTCTTAAAAAAAGAACATTAGAAGAAATGTCAAAGAAATTTAAAAGCTTTGTACAACTGCTCTGTATCATAATGTTATTCATGTTGTTCACGGAAAAAACTTAATTTCTCCCTAACCTTAACTTCTCTCCCTGCAAGACTCTTAAATTGTGCCCATACGCAGATTAACAAGCACCAAAGTCATCAACAGATGTGAATTTGGTAAAGAAAACGTTATTAAAATGTACATTTGCTTTACAAACAGAGATAATCCATCATGAAACAGCCTTTGATCAAAAAACACCATCTTATTAAAGCTTAACATTTTATTGAGAATATACCCATAAAAGTAATGCAGAAAACCAAAAACTGAAGACAGATGTGAGAAACACTGGTATATTAGCAATAAGGGCTTTAACTGAAAAGAAAATGGTCCCAGACAAATGCTCTACTAACCAATCTGCATGCTGTTTTGTACTTTTATTCTCTTTCTCAGAAAATGTAACAACAGATGGAACCTGAGGGGTCTGGACTTTCAACTGTCACAGCAGGAAGAAACAAATCTCAAGTTCTGCAAAAATAAATAGGTAAATAAATAAATTATGATTAAATAGTAAACAGCTCACTAATTAAGCAAGGGTCTGTAAAGTGCTGTTTCTTGCACAGAATGGAAAATTCTTTCTTTTAACGCTTCTTAAGAGCTCATATTTAAATTCCAGGAAATGCTAACTTATCCCAAATTAGAGAGAATGTTCCTTTACCTTACTGATAGGTACTTCATTTGTCTAGGAATCCATTTGTCTAGCGCAGCAGTAGATTATTGTTTGCTCATTGGTACATGTTATGCTTGGTATACAAAGGTATAGCAAGAGTTGAATATTAAAGCTTTATCTTGCTTTAATGTTATCTGCTGATAATTACTGAAACTATGTGAAACATCTTCAATTTATTTTAATTTTTCTTTTATTTTTAACTTTGTATTTCTACAGCTTTGGATGATAGATGAGCTGAGAAGTCACCAGGGAGCTGTGGAGAGGCTAAGGAAATTCATGCAGGCCTCTCTACGTGAATTTACTGTTATGGATGGACAACAAATGAAGAAATGCAGGTCTAAACTATGGCAATGGCCAAAGCCAATATTTCCTGAACCATGTTCTGAAAAAAAGACTGGCTTGGGTTACAAGTAACTGATACAGAATACCTTACACGTGAGAAAAGAAATGCATGAATAGACAAAAAAGACTAGAATTTTTAAGGAAACTGAAGCTCGGGGCCAGTACACTTCTCTCTAAGGAATTAATAATCACTTTGTGAAACAACAAAATAACGATTATCTTAAAAATCCTGTCTGCTGTGGACTAAGGTTAGGATAAGAAAAGATAAATACAAGAGACACCTTCTAAGACCAGGTAAGAACAGCAGTTGCCATAGATACTGCAGAATAGGAAAGCTCTGCCTCCTTCAAGCAGGCATCTGGCATGGACAACCACTGTCATGAACAAAACTGGATTCAGGTGAACGCAGAACAGTGACAGAAAATAGGGCTCCCTTAAGCAACCTGAGGACTCACAGCATCTGATTCCTACATTTTAGCTCAAGTTTGGCAAGCATCCCAAATTTGCATACACTCTTGTGCTTGTAACACAGCTCTTATATGCTGCGTGTTTCCCATGCTACACAAGACAGCATACAGAACACTCCTAAAGCTCTTGCTCTTACGGCTTCTAGTCAGCTGAGTTAAAGGTCTCCCTCTTCTGATACACATGTAAACCAAGGTTACAAAAATCAGTGGTTTTTAACAGTACTTCAGTCTGAAGTATGACAGCTACATGCAAGATCTTCATGTGACACACACTATGCATTGTAGGCAGTAGACTAGTCTTCCTTTCTGAGACAATAAAAATAAAAAAGTATATAAAATATTGTGCTTAGTCACTTTGTTTTGATTTCAAATCAGATTTGTTTGCCTTTCTTTTTTTAATCTCTGAGGTTGTGTTTCTATTCTTCCCTGACAGTAAACAGTAAATGAAAATCTTGTAGTGACCTTCTCTAAATCACTCTCACTCAGTATGCTTTTGTAACGCTCTTTGTTGCTCCCATCTAAATGGAATTAACATATCTTTCTGATCTCCATAGAAATCTTCCCTT